TCACCATCCTCCTCCCAATCTGGATCCTCATCATCTTCTTCATCAGCAGGTTCTTCATCACCATAAAAAAATAAAATACTATAAACATACTGATACATGGTATTATTTTACTTCATATAAACAAAAATGCATAAATTAATTTTTTAAATGCCCACTTATGACACGTGTGCAACATGACGCTCACACATTTTGATATCGGTTCAAACCTTCGATTTTTGTCGCAATATAAATGACAGAACTATCATATAAATGCCTTATTACATCGATTATTTGTATATTTATTATATTTCGTATCAGATCTTAGTCTAGAGACAAAATTCTTATGGAAAATATGCGTCAAAGTTCACGTTGCGTCGAATGTAAATTTAATCCTTCGGCCATGACATGAAAACATCTGTTCGCTAAAAACATGAAAATACTTGCCTTGGGTCGCTATCTGACATCACCAAACGTCTGTCCAAGTCTTCTTCTTCATCTGATGATATTCCACTAGCGTCCAAAGCAAAAGTTTCGTTGTCGATCGCTTCGATTACGGCATCAAGCGTATAAGCCATCTTTGCGTATTAGACAATATCAAAGACGGCAGCGAGCCGTTGGTGCGCGCATCACTTATAATCTAAAAAATGCCGTATAAGGCACGGCTTTTGCCCTAAACCAATGAAATTCACGATACAGGGGGATTACATCATGGGGAATCGATTGCCGAGGGTTTTTAGACCGTGGGGTGAAAAGAACCCGGCGAATTGAGGCTCCGAAGATTGCCGACTGGTGTACGACGCATCACGAATGCACGTGCATTTCCGAAAATGCCCATAAAATGTGTTGTTTATGTCGTAATCTTACAAAATTCAAGACATAAACAGATTGCGATACGGGGATTCTAGTAGTGGTATTTCTGTCTCGATAACGTTTATTCGAGCGAAGATATAGTCCAGCAAGGTTCAGAATATGTTTGTTATGTTGAACATCCGGTACGTATTTTTGAAAATACATATCTCAATGATTTAAAAAATTATAAATCGCTTGCGTTGTACCATAGACAAACAAAATTAGGTCTGACATGAGATTGTGAAACTGCCGTTCTAACAGTGGTATTTTTGTCTCCATCGTATGCAATGAACCGAAGATATCAACACGCAAAGCCGTCGATCGCTCAGGATCGACGCAACTGGGGCGTGGCGAGAAAGAGTTAAAGATGTATACCTGGTCAACGCTCACCTGGTCTATGTGTTCTTGCCAGAGCACCAACGTCATGCATGATGATGGACTATCAGCAACAACGCACCGTGCTAATTTTAGGTTTCTAGCGGTCTCTGTCGGCCCTTTCGAGACAACTTTGGCAGAAAAGTTAACCATATCCATTGACTTAGCCTCCTTGATTATGTCATTCAAGCTTCGCAAGGGATACTGGTCAGGAATCTCTTCGAATTGAAAAAAATAATCACCTGGTTGTGCATTTGAAACTTGCGTCATTTCGTTGATGAAAATTTTACCGTCATTAGACACTGTATGATTGTAGATTTCAACTGCGGTCTTGTTGTCAAACCTTTCTTTAAGCAACTTCCTTTTGGACTTGCTAAAGCACAGGGCTTGTTTTGTCCCTTCGGCTGTTTGCAGAGTGAGCGAAGAATAATTCAGCGTATCTTTCCTGTTTCTTTTTTCAGGCGATAGGCTTTGTATATAAGCAATTGTCTTCCGTTTTTCAGCGAATGAACGAGACGTACTTGGGTGTTTGTCGGCTTTCGAAAAGCTATTGGCATTGCCAAGGGCATGGCTGTCATCCTGACTCGCTGTAATTTGTGAAGAACTAGTCTTAGCACGTCTTGTCTCAGCAGAAGCATCAACGACAACAGGCTTCGATTTCTCCATAGGCAAGGGTATGAACTTTTTAGTCGAAGATTTTCCCTGTTTCTTCTGGGAGGACATTTTTAAAGTTTTGAATTCAAGAGCTTTAAATTAAATACCCCAACTCTAAACTATAGCTCTGACTATGAAAAGATGTGTGAGACAGTTCACGAGTTTATTATATATGGTACAATTTGGAGTAAAATATAATATGAAACATTTCCATATTTGGAGTTGTTTATCGCAAACTAAATCTCGTGATCATCTGATGTCATCCGATATTTTGGGACCTGTATGCATGAAAGGCGTGGACTAGTCGGGACACAGAGAGAGGCGGACATGTAGAAGATGAAAAAAACGTAGTCTGAAAATGCAAAGTTAAAAATATGCGGGGAGAGGGGGGCAATAATCAATATGAATGCAGAATTTGGCAAAATTGCAACTCAAACTTCTGATAATACTTAATTTTCAAGTATGATATTACCCAATTTCTGTACTTTATTTTATTTTAAAAAATACAATTTATTCACAAATCGTACGTTTCAAAACTATAGTAACTGACAAAATTATTAGGCTATTATGATTAGCAAAATTGGATATCTGTTTTCAAAGTTGTTAATATTTATATTCTATTCGTCTCACAACCCAAGTTAATAAAAAATGCAATTAAAAATGACATTCAATATATGTGACCAGAATATTTTCAATTGAAAAATATACTACAGCATATTAAGTAATCTAAGTACAACATCTGGAAGAAGCATATAGCACTCTGACTCTTCTTAGCACAACAAATATTAGCAGTATATATGGAAGTTTATATTAAGCTAGAATCACTAATCAGAACACCGAGAAATGACATGTTTACAATTTTTATTGACAAAACAGATATGGCGAACGGAATCGTCCAAACAAACACTAAAAACTGAAGGAATTGAATTACTGAACGAACAATAATAGTCTACGGTTGAGGGGTTATACGCCCGGCGTAGCCTACGAACAGGCGTTTATAGGAGACCACCGACGCAAGTAAACTACGCCCACCTGAATAAACGCCTGTTGCATGTTAATAGTGAACTATTACTAGGTCCACCTGAATAAACGCCTATTTGCAGGCTACGTCGGGCGTTGAGCTCAGCGCCGCCCATGACGTCATGAGAGGTAAATGAGACGATGTGGAGCATTGCATACACACCTCTTCGACTCTTACTACTTTCTGACGAGTTGTTATATCAACTTTGCACTATCCTTGGGATCTCTGAGTTCTTTAATCAACTGAATTGTTTTTCAGGGTGAAGATAATGGCCACGGCAGAAACTTACACACTTATTGCATTTACCTCCCCATCGTTTTTCAGGATGTGGAATTGGAAGAGATATAGTCGTAAGTGATGGCCCACCTTCAAACCAAATAGGTGGCGAACTTGGTTTCCCATCACGGCAACACGGATGAGGACATTTCTTCTGGTAGTATGGCAGGAGTATAAAAATCTAGTTGTCCGGCAGGTCTTTCACCATGTGGTTATTCCTCACATCCCATACATTCGTGAAATACTTGTATTCATCCGGATAACTCTTTTTGAATAATAGCTGGTTTTTCTTTGATCCTCGTAGAAATGTGAGCAAACGATCTCGTCTTTCATGATTATTCCTTGAAACATCATCGCGACATCCTTTTAACAACAAAATGGGATTACCAGAGCATTTCGTTCCAGAAACACTGTTAATGTAGGTCTCCGTAGCTGCACCAAGGTTAGATTCTAACCTGTCCTGGTCAATTCCTTCAGCGTTAAAATTAGAACCAAGAATAGTTGAGGGAATAAACACATCAGAAATCTTACGCCATTTCCATGACAACACTTCCGAAATTTTCATGGTAATTGCCACTGACCAACCGCGATCCTAAGCTTTCGACGATGTCCTTAACCCCCCTGGTTTTTGGACAGAAATATTAAAGATATTTCAAGTTTTCTGTTGTTTTTGAGCTAAAAAATCTTAATATTTTCCTCCAACATTACTTGTTTTACAACGCGGAGCGAGGGGGTGCGGGTTTGCTTCGCTTGTGGATGCAGCATTTCACTACAAAGAAAGACTAATTCTTTCAGGTAAGATTCACGAAACTTTTTTTATAACTTTGTAGAGTCACTAGACAGTAGACCCTTCGATTATGTTATGTCAAAAACTTATCCTAATATATACAGCAAATATTTCAATAGGGGACATAAAAGTATTGTTAACGACCAAACATTGTGTACAACTGTACATGAAATTATGTTGTTTTGTGTCAGCACTGGCCTTTGTGGTTTTATTGCCAGTTTTTAATTTATACTAAAAATTGTGGTTGTTTACATGTTCATATATTTTAAAACGTTTATTAAATATGGTGTGAAATTTATATACCTGCCCATCACAATGTAGAATTAGTATATATAGATAAGCACAAGACCAGAGAGAGTGGAGCCGTAGAGGAGGCTCACCTACATGTGACAATCCATGGGCCCTGTCCTGATGGGCCCTACAGACTGTCTTTATTATTTTATTATGTCTAATGCCAGACGATCTTAAGGGGATTGAGACTAAATGAGACTGCTCCCTGCTGTCACACAGTGGGTTAATTACACTATCGGCAAATAAACAGCCCCTGAGATATATCGTCAGCCCAATATTAAACTGCAATGAACCCTGGCTACCTTCTTATTTTACTCAATCTGTGAGATTAAATCCAGATGTTTTACTCATCAAGGGAAGAGTCTTAAAAATAGATATCATTTTGCACCATTGTCTGTTTAGAACTATGTAAAACTACTATATAGTTTTACACAGCTTGTTGGCAACAAAAATGTTGCACACAAGCTGCCGGGATTTAAGTGAGTCACTGATACACTAATCATGAAGTAAATTTGGAATGCTACAACATTTCTAACAAGGGCGGATTTTCATTTATTTAAAAGGGGTAGAAAAATTTCTGGCGGGGTGCAAGCACCACCACTCAGTGAGCTTTCGCAGTGGTTAAGTGTTTGGGTTAAAGCCTTTCACACAAAATGGGAGGGTTGAAGCAGAATTTTGGTGGGGTTGAACACTTTATTAGAGGAGTTTAACCCCCCACCCAAAGTAAATCCACCCATGATTTCTAACATTGGGAGTAGTGATGTCCAACTGGCCATGACACAGCCTGTGAGAAATTATGATCATGACATATTTTAGTTAGGAATGTAATTGCATTGCAGAATATTGAAACATGACATTTATTTTTGAAGCTCCGATCAATGATCTTGGTAAAAACAGATAATGTAATTGCACCCTTGACTAGTAAAATTGTCTGGCATTAGGCAGATTAAAATAATACAGTAAGGCATATCAAGACACATTGCCACGTGGCACTTGTGAAGGGTTAACATATTATGTGTATATGATATTTTTGTGATGTATTAAAGATGTATAATGTATCATGATAATAATGTCATCTTTTATTTTGCAGAAATTATATGTTTAATATACACAAGAGATGGCACTGAGGCATCAACATGCAGAAAAACATGCAGAACAACAAAATGAATTAGTTAATTATAATACCATGCATAACAACATATTAAATAATTATATGATTATGATAACTTTAATGAAGTGTAAATAAGTTTTATAGCAATTAAAATTATACATTTTTGTTTTTTAAATTGTTTACTGCTAATTATTTTTCAAAAAGTCAAATACACCCTTCCGGAATGTATTTCACCTTGGCTATGGAGCCTCATTTTCATGTATGTGGCATGAGTTAAAGTCCAATGTCTCAATTGTGATAATGAGACTCTATATATAGCCAAGGTGACATAATTTCTGGAAGCATGTATTAAAATACAGTATGTTCAGTTTCCAAAGATATGTGTGTCTTGGTACTGTAACTTGCCATCCAGAAAGGAATGTGTCATTGTGGGATAAATCTGCAATAAACAAGAGTAGACTAATTATGTAGGTTGTACAAAATCCACCAGTAACATAATTAGCATATGATCAAGGTAAACAAAAGAATGTGACCTAACTCCTTAGCTTAAACCAGGCCGGGTATCAGAACTATGAGTGCACTTATCAATGTTACCCCCCGGGGGGGGGGGGGGGGGGTCGGGCATATGTGGGGTATTTGATCATCAATTGCATCCCCACCCTGGGGATTTTGATTAGCATTTTGGCCCTGAGTTGGGGGAATTTGAACTGAATGACTTTTATTAACATAGTATTTCTTGCAATTTATTGCAAAATGGTGAGTATTTATTAACATATTTATTAACACAGTATTTATTAACATAGTATTTCTTGCAATTTATTGCAAAATGGTAGTGATTTATTTCCCGACAGTAGGGCATTTGATTGAAAATTTGCTCAAAAAATCAAATGCCTCACCTATGCCCGACCCCCCCCCCTCTCCCTCTGGGGCTTAACATTGATAGGTGCATTATAAGGATACATTGCTCATTCAGAGAGATATTCACTGAGAAAACTTGTAAGAAAACAGGCCATCCTGGAAATGAGGTTTATGTCTGTTTATAAAACGAGACCTCAAGAGTCAACTGTTTTAAACATTATTACACTAGACAGTTCGCACTTTAATGTTATTGTAAATTTGCATGTTATTTTGTAATGTATATGTATAATATTGAAGTTGAAATTTATAATGCAGGACCCCACTGAAAAACACTTCGGCGACGTGGGTATCCTGGATAAATATAAATATAATAATAAAAGACCGTCGTAATCCTCGTATATGTGACTGAATATCGATCAAAGCTTTGTAGTTTGTATTAAACCAAATATTTTGCGATTGTGAATCACAGCTTGCTAAAATTATTAAATTAGTAAAATAGTGGAAAATTTTACACTTTACCATGTGTATTGCATAGGAAGTTGTTTTACTAACAAATAGAGTGTCAGTTTCATCATTTATATGCTTATCATTTTCATGTCAAATAAGGTAAAGTCTAAATATTAAAAAATTCAAATGAAAATTTGTCTCTTACCCTTTGTATAAAATCCATATTCAAGTCTCGTATTTTCCCACATTTCTTAAGGTTTTCATTTGTTTGTCGTCTTTCACGGGTGCGAATAACATGTACGACTGGCATATCTTTGTCCAAATAATCAAAGGTAGAAAATTTATATCGAAAAAAATCGATTCAAAACCGATTCAAAACCACGAGAACTATAATATCTGCAAAAATTTTTTTGCAAAAACCAGGGGGGTGAGAAAACGGCCGTGGGCTCAGAATTGAGCCTGGTCAGTGGTACCTACCATGAGAATTTCGGAAGTGTTGTCATGGAAATGGCGTCATTTTCACTCAAAATCCGCCATGTTTTTGGCGACACTTTGTTCACTGAACGAAGTATAGGAGCAGGTCCTCCAGTTATTATACAGCTCAGTGGGCGTGACATTTTGAACAATCCAAGATGGCGGAACAAGCGGGCAAAAAAAAAACGCGGGAAATTTTTTTCCATATAAACACATTAGTTTTCGAGCGTTCTGCGAAGTTCTCGGCTGTTTTGAAGTGTTTTAAAGCGTTCTGATTTTAGTTTTTTTGGCTAAAATATTGAGCAACATCCACCTGGCTTTGTTTTTATTATCCAAAACTACAATGCCACAGTCTTGAGCGCGAATGAGCGGCGTAGAACTGTACGAATAAGACTCTGGAGAGTGACATCGAACAGTGGAATTGCTATTTCATTCCACAGGTAGAATATGCATTTTATAAATGTTTTAATGCCACTTTTTTCCGACTTTAGTGGGAAAATATAGTTTATCTTAAATGGGAAAATATAGTTTATCTTTGTATTATCAATTCTTTTGTTAAAAACTTGAGATTTTTGTCCTTAATATATGTATTCTTTTCCATTCGATTGTTTTCAAAAAGTTCCAGCTCGCCATTTTCTACAGTGCTCACTGCTCAGTAGCTCACTGTTCACACTTGAAACATTTATAGCATCTTTTTATTTGCAAAAAAAGACTTGAACGTAAATTTCAATGCCCACTATGATTTGCATCATTAAATTATAAATAAACTGATAAACATTTAATATGGCAAGAATAAAATTGCTCTCAGCCTCTCATGAAGTATTCCAGCTAAATTACCTGCTATAAATATTTTCAAGAACTATCCATATAAACTTCAGCAGATGCATCATTGCATCAAAACAATGTAAAACAACAAATCCCAAACATTTTCCAATCAAAATATCAACAGAAATTCACAGGCAACAACTATACCAACAACTATACCGTATATACAGACAGGTGTACTGAAAATATAGGTCTAACTATATTAAAGAAAAGAGCTTCAGGCCATGCACAACCTCTTGAGATAAAGCAGTTTAAATATGATATGAAGGTTCATGAATGTTTATGAAATGAAGGTTTATCCATTCTACTTCATTCATGTGATTTGTGCAATCCAATAAAATATATACCCTTATGTTTTCATTAACCCATTAAGCTGCAGAGCTTCCCCATTGACAAGTAAAATCGTCAGGCGTTAGACAAGTACTAGTAAAAAAATAAGTAGGGCGCACTGGGGCACTTTGCAGCTCAATGAGTTAATTTAAGGCTTACAAGAGAAACCTGCAAAATATCTACTTGTTGACAAACTTTGGGGAACAATCCAGCAACTCCAACAGCATTACATGCATCTGCATACAATGCATTGCTACCAAAATAGACACAAATGGACAGTGAACAGAATATTTATTTCACAATTTTTGAACCATACAAAATATGAAATAAGCAACTTCAGCTACAAAATTCAAATATATTTTAAAATGCATCCTTATATGAAAATATGCCAAACTAGGCTACATGACAGATAATTTCACATGCAAATCATAACTGCAAACATTTGTCAATTTAACCCTTTTGGCATAATAGTGCATAATCCAAGGGGGCATATGCATACACAATTTAAGACCTACTGTAACCATGACATTATTTTTAAGCTAGACCCAACTAGACCTTAGCTAGACTGCATGTGGAGGTACTGTAGGGGGCCCTCAATTTCCAAAATGCTCTGACCAATTTAAAGAAACTACTCAATTTTAGGCTCTTCCTCTCAAGTTGGGCCCTATTATGGTGGGGGCCTGGGGCAATTTGCCCCTCCCCCCGGCCCCCTCTCGGCGGCCCTGGGTGTGGACATTTCATCTTTCAAGGCAGCCCTTGGCCAGGCAATTTTGAATATTTTTTATTCATACACAAATAATGGGAACGTGTTCATGTCACTGGCCTATACATATTGTCACTGGCCTATACTTAGATTGTTGGAACAGGCAATTTAATAGTCTGCTTTGTTGAAGTACAACACTTTGGGTTATTAGTTTGATCATGAATGCAATATAACAAATTTTCCCAGCCCCCACATGGGGGAAATACTACTGTTTTTTGACCCAATATTGATTTCCTCAGGTAGGGAGTATTACCATTTTTTGACCAATGGTGGTGTCCCTGGGGTGTAGATTTTGACATTTTTTTCAGGAAAATGTCAAATCCCAACCCCATGCCCCCCCCCCCCGGGCTTAACATTGATAGATACATAAGCTGCATAGGCCAGTTGCCAAGCTGCAACCACAAGTTCATGTTCAGTTATATATAGACTTTCAGGTGTGTGGATTTTGATAAGGTAAACTTGAAAGATGTGTTTTGCACTTCACTTGGTTGAACTAGAATGTTGGGTTTAGTGGATAATCCAAGCAAGCATATATACACAGTTTAAGACCTAAGGCGACAGGTTTGATTCCTGCCAGAGGACCTAGTGTTGTACTTTTTGCAACCGTTCCTGGTTAGGTCTTAAATTGTGTACATATGCCCCCACTTGGATTATCCAGCATTCACTGTCCAGAAAAACAATCCCATAATATTACAATTTCAATCGGCATTATGAACAGAACACTGTGACAAACCGAGAAAGAGCTTGAACCTGACAAGATAATTGTGGGAATGCTTGACAGCTCTCCAGTATAGTGTTTGGTTACAGTAACATTTATAGAGGGTTCATAGTGTAGCAATTTCTTTCATCCATAAAATGTGTTGAACATGTTTGATGCCTTGGTGGCTTAAGATCAAAATATACTACCAGATCAGTCATCCTACCCCCGTACATCCCCAAACAGCTCCAACTACTTAATTTCCCTCAAGAGTTATATGGCACTTAATAGTTCCTTCGCCTTCAGTTGTGAAAATAGTCCAAGTCACAGATAAAATCCTTCGTGAAAGACTCCATCAGTGGCATAATGGCATTTAATGAAGAAAGAATCCCTCCAAGTGATTAAACAGCAAGTTCTGCCGGAGACCAAGCCATCTACATTCACTTCCTTGGGGCAGTACTCATGAGAATGCCATATTCTTGACTAAAATTTACGAGATGACCATATTGCACTCCTAATCCACTCCATTTCAGACCTCTAGGCCAAGATATTTGTCTACCGCTTCGGAAAGATCCATTCGGAGAAAATAGTTCGAGATGAAAAGCCATCAGAGAGACAAAAAATTAACAAACTAATCCTCTTTGGTAATGATTAACATTGGATTCGACAGCATAAATGTCCATGTGGTTGAATAACTCGACACATTTCAGCTGAATATTTCGAGATATAAAAGCAAAAAAACCCACACTGAATCCTTGAATGACGTTAATAAAGATAATATTTTTTAAATAAAACCAAAATCGTAGCGAAATTCCATGTAGATTTTCCACAATAAGTGCTTGAAAATACCCATATTTACCTGGGGCCGGTTGTATAAAAACGTAGTTAGCGCTAACTGCAGTTAAAAAGTAGTTAAAAAGTGGTTAACTTTAATCACGTAGTTAAGCCGGTTGTATAAAAGTGTAGTTAGCCTTAACTGCAGTTAAAAAGTAGTTAAAGTTAACTATGCTTTAGGGTATAGTTAACTGTCCAAAACGTAGTTAAAAATGGCGTTTGTATAGGAGTGAACAACATTTTTCAGTAAAACGATAATGAAAAGCAACGCTTACCTGAGATTTTCAATCGCTATCTTCCCTGTGAAAGTTTCCTGACAATATAAACTCTTCGAATGCTATCGCTTTGGTGTTTTTACGAAAACAGAACATATTTTTGCACAGGAGGATTTCTCGAAGAAGAAGTATGGTCCATTACACCAAGAAACACTGATATATAATTGCCAAACAGCTATGCCTTGGTTTAACGTAGACATCTCAAGGAAAAACTGCATTCTTTTATCATTTTTGTGGCGGTTTTTCTTTTATTTTTTTGTTTATTTTTCACTGTTTTCTAGTGTTTTGAATAAAATTCCCGCCTATTTGCAAAATACGAGTCCACAATCGTGTTGAAAATGTTTGTCAGCGGTCGTTACTCGCTGCTTACACGGCAAAAAACGCCGAGCCCGTTGCTCAACAGGACTGAACAATGTTTTGCTGCCCACGTTGTTCACACTTGTCAACAATATTGAACAATGTTGTTGAGCCTGAATCGGGTGTAACAACATTGTTCAATATTGTTGACAGCTATGAACAATGTGGGCAGCAAAACATTGTTCAGTCCTGTTTTCATCAGTATTGCATCAACCTGAGCGTTTTTTGCCGTGTACTTTATGTAATTTTGTGTTTAAACGCCCCACGCAAGCCCCACGCACAGTTAACTACGTGATTAGTTAACTATCCGACTAACTACGTTTTGTGCAACGCAGTTAAGTCATGTAGTTAACTAATTACAGTTAAGGATTTAACTACAGTGATTAACGCTAACTACAGTTAGCGCTAACTACGTTTTTATACAACCGGCCCCTGGTTTTCCTATGTCACTTGCGTTTTTTGCCCGCTTGTTCCGCCATCTTGGATTTTTAATTTTGGTCACGTCCATTGAACTATAAATAAACTGGAAGGCTAACTGCTATGATAAAGGCCTATGATTTGATGAAGCCAAAATAGTTTTTCTGAGTTATGAGCAGAAATACTTAACCCCAAACGTCGGACTATATATCAAATTGAAGCTATTGAAAATTGCTATTCGGTGTGGAAATTTCAAGACTTCAGCGAAAAGAAAAATATTTTAAAAATACAAAAACAACTGCAAAACGGCAAATTATCGGTAATTATGTTTGTAGTTTTTCAATATTTCCCTTTTAGCTAAAGTCTTGAAATTTCTACACCAAATAGCGTTTTTCAATAGCTTCAATTTGATATATAGCCCAACGTTCAGTGTTGAGTATTTCTGCTCATAACTCAGAAAAACTAAAATGCACTGGCTTCAATTCCCCCCCCCCCCTGAGTTAGCCTTCCAGTTTATTT